GGCGCTGGTCCGGAGACCCTGCCCCGGTGGGTCGATCAGCCCACCTGTTCTGGGAGCACGTTTGAGAAGGTTCCTAGGTACAGCGGGACATGGAGTCTATCCCAGGAGCAGTCGTGGGGACACTAAGTCACACAACTGAGGGGCAAATGGCCACCCGGGAATACTGTCTTAGCTCAGGCCACCGTAACGAAGTCCCAGAGACCGGGAGGCTCGCACGACACTTACTTCCTCACGGTTCTGGAGGCTGGAAGTCCAAGGTCAAGGCGTCTGTGGGGGGCTGGGCGGGGGGCGGTCGTGAGGCCTCTCCCCCTGCCTGGTAGCCATTTGCCCCCTAGGTCCTCGCGTGAACTTTGCTCTGTGTGTCTGTGTCCTAATCTCTTCTTATAAGGACACCAGCCATACTGGATTGGAGTCCACCCCAGTGGCCTCATCTGACTGATCACCTCTTTAAAGACCCCGTCTCCAAATGCAGTCACACTCTGTGGTCCTGGGGGTTCAGACCTCAACGTGTGAATTCGATCTGTAGCAAATACCTATTTTGCTCTTGCAGGTGAACAGAACCGCGTGGGGGGGGGGCCTTCTGCGGGGGCCGAGGCCCCTGGTGCGGTCCGAGGCGTGGGTCACATTGCGTGAAATCCTGAGGGACGAAGAACCTTGACAATTTCCAGGAGCCTCTGGTGCCAGGGGCCAGGGCTGTAAAGACATGGTACGTACTGGCCATCAAGCAGTGCTCAGAAAAAACGGCCTCCTTTGCACAAGGCCGACCCTGGAGCTGGAAAGATCCATGAAGAAAGCGGAAAAGGTGGCAAACACGGTGTGTGAGGTGGCGCCCAAGGCCAGGCCACCTGCGAGCCCACTAAGGAAGGCAGCAGTGGTGGCTGGGAGGACAGATTCTTCTTTGCACCGTGTCCACCTCCCCTCCCCACCCCTCCCTGGCCCACGCCTGGGGGGAGAGACTCTGAGAACAGGAACGCATGCCTGTTACCCTTCAGAGGAGACTTAGGTTTAAGCAAGTATGCAACAGGTGTTTCTTATTTGCTTTAGAAACGGCCCTCGCCTTAGAAAGTATTTCTCAACATATTGATGCGAAATTCACAATAAACGTACATACAACAGGCTACAGAATGATTCGCTCTGCTTCTATTTACCTTGTGGTAGCACCTATTGTGCTGAAAACTCCCCAAACTGCAGCCACCAGCTCTTCCGCCTGCGCCCACCTTGTGCGGCAGGAATCTGTGAAACGGGGGAACCTCACTTCGCAGGAAAACCCCCAGAGCTGGGAAGTGCTGGCAGCCTCTGGCCAGCATCCCGGCACCTCTTGAGGAAATGGGCTCGTGTTGGAACTGCCTCTCCTCGGCTCTGGACCTCATAGGGTGTGTTCAGGGGTGTCGGGAAATGTGAGGTGGGGAGCGGGGGGTGGCGGGGGGAAGAGAGAAACCGGGAGAGGAGGAGAGAGAGGGAGAGAGTCCAACAGGCTGACAGGGATTGGCTTCAAAATATAAAAGTAACCCCAAATCAATCGGTTTCATTGACTGTCTACAAATGCAGTACTAGACCTCATTAGCGTTCCAACAATTCAATACAGTGGAGAACACTTTTGAGAAATTCCCTGGTACTCAAGGCGATATAGTTAAGAAGTCATTGCCAAGTGTAAAGACTGCCAAATACTTTCGGAAGTAAAATATGCAAAATATTTCTGAAAAAATCTGCAGTGAAAGAATGGATCTTTAAGGTGGGATGTGGGTGCATGTTAATTTGGATAATGAGCGGGGCCACCCCCAAGCGTCAGTGGGCCGAGGGCGGCATCCTGCGAGCCACTGTAGTTACATGTCTAGTAGCCACAGTTACAAAAGTACAATCAGGTGAAATTAATTTTATTATTCAAAATATCACTTCAATGTATAATCGACATAAAAATTAGGTATTTATTTACATTCTTTTTGTACTGTCTTTGAAATCTGCTGTGCATTTTACATTTTACGCCTCAGTTCAGAGTAGCCACATATAGGCCTAGAACTTCAAAGTTACCAAAATTTATCTTAAAATGGGCCGTGTGCCGCCAGCACCCAGCACAGTGGAGATTTGTGTCCTAACCTTTCCTTCCTAATCCAGGGCAGAGATGATGCTGAAGGGTGGCGGGTGTTCAGAGTCCCCCACACCACAGGAAACCAGGCCTCAGGGTCCCATAAGGAAACCAAGGGGGACATTGAATTCTTAAGTAGAAAAATCAGGAGTCCGACTTCTGAAAATATGTTGCTTTCGGTGTTTCCTGAGGCCATCGATGTGCCTAAAGAGTCTTATTTTAAAGACTATTCTTCTAACAGGATAAATAAAACTTCGATTCCACTCTCCAAGTATCTTACGAGCTCAGTAACGACAGTAAAAGGGGAGCCTACGCTCATTTCCTTAAATAAACCCAAGTCCATGACATTGAATAGAGTCAGCTCCGACGGTGGCATTGCAGTCACCGGCGCCACCTGCTGGCCAAACGCAAACGCAGCCTCCCCGGGAGTCGCGGGAATCTAAGATCTCAGGACAACCTGGTCCGTGGACATTTTTGTCCCAGCAGGGCTCCGTGGAAAAGGAAAGTTCCCGAGGATGCTAACCCCACCCCCGAGGTCACAAAGTGGGAGCCAGCATTGGAGCACTTATTCTGAGCCAGCCACAGAGTGCCTGGCGGGCTTTAACTCTTTGGATACCCACGATCTTGTTATGCCCACTTTCAATGTCTCCCACTTAACAGATGAGGTCACTGAGACCCAGAGAAGTTTAAGTCACATGCTCAAGGCCGCAGAGTTGGCAAGTGGCAGAGCTGGATGTGAAGGCCGGCAGTCTGACTCTGGGTTCACATGTCATGTGGACATCTCAAATGTCACCCAATGCACAGAATCACCCCGCCCGTTCTGGGGGGATGCAAGGAAATAGTCATGGCTGGTATTCACGGCAGTACTACTTGAGGTTACTGAACCCCAAGAACCCATCCTCAACCATGTAAGAAGTAACAGGGACAAAATTCCCAGTCCAGAATAGTAAAATATGTAATACTCACTCACGTAGACACATATATACATACATTATGTCATGCAAAACAGTATTTGCATTACTATGTGTGACGCACTGGGATATAGTCCGTATCTTTCGTGGCTCCATTAAAAAAAAAACAAAACTCTAGTTGCAACAAATAGTCATTTTACGACCAGTGAATGAATGGGTCATGGTTTAATCTGGAAAATGCTGGCTCTATGTTCCTACATGTATTCGGTTCATGTTACAAAGCCCCTCCTTCTAAGGAAACTCAAATTTTGAAGAAAAAAATTTCCTAAAGCATTCCCCAAATGGCAAATGGGTTCTACCAAGTAGCCTAGAACACATAAAACAACATCACCTTAACAGGATTTCCCTGAGGTATTTGTCCCTTGAAGGTGACTTTGGTGGTACACTTTAACTTTCGGTGTATTATTTCATGGCTCACACTTATCTTTTATTTTCACTGTATTAATTTTTGTAGTTACCACTTTGACAAAAGATGTTTTTCATATACTGAATTTTTTGATCTAATTTTATGGCAAAAAAACTTTCTTTTTGAAAGGCAACTGTGCTTTTAAAAAGTGGATCACTGTAAAGAGCAAGTGAGTGACAGTGAGAACAGGGGCCAGGTGTGCTTGGGCAACCACGCGTAACCTGTCTGCCACACGCGGCCGTGTGCCTGAGTCACCACTTCTCACCAAGGACAGCAAGTACTCACCACGCATAGCGGTAAGCCCGCCCACGCTCACCTCGCTCTACCGAACCCCATCCTGGCATCCCCTTGTCGAGGGCACGTGACAGATAAAGCCCCCCCTAAAATGGGGTTAAGGCAGGCAGGATTGGTAGGCCCGACGGAGGCAGATCGGACACGCGCGCGCACAACACGTTTCCACGCTCCCCTGAACACCGGGTCAGACCAAACACGATGGGAACGGAGAAGTGCACCTCCCTGAACACCACTCCTAAACCCGTAACGACGCGTTTCAGCATCGTGACACGTCATCCTCCCAACCGGTTTGCATCCACACTCAGTCACCAAGGGGTGGAAAAGAGAAACCAAATGGAAAAATATAGCAAAATGTTAACCGTAGAATCTAGGTGGTAGGTGTAAGTTCACTGTAAAGCTCTTCTGTATGTTTGAAAATTCTTGTAATAAAATGTTAGCAAAAAAATCAGCGAACCATCTAACGCATCTTCCCCATGAAGTTTACAGACTCCACTTTCCATTTTTAACTGGATGTCCAGTGAATTTTTAATGGCAAAATGACGACACGAAGAGTCAAAATTTCTCTGAAGATGCCATCAGATTTACAAACACCTACAGAGCACCTACTGCAGCAGCCTGTTTAAGATGGAGAGTTAAGACTCGCTATGCCTTTTAGGAAAAACACCTTAAGTTTAATGATTTCAACAAATATTTATTGGTTCATCACCAGCAAACACGGGGCAGCCGTTCACGCTCCCGGTGGTGACAAGAGGCCCCCTTACTCCTGGTTTCTGGCGGCTCCACTTGGGACTTAGTTAAATGTTTCAAATTTGCCAATTACAAAAAAACTATCCCCTCAGTAATGCGGCAAGGCCCAGTCTTGGAAAAGAACGCTCTAAAACGCTCATGACTTAGATTCGTTATTTCGTGGTCATTTTCAACGACAGCCTGTAAAGTTAGGACACAATGGCTAGACTAAAGCTGTCAATCTCATCTCACCTCCCATGACACCTGGCTACTGCGAGTCCAGCCGGACTCTCCTCACAGCCGCCTTCCCTACCGGTTGTACAGATCAGAGCCGCAGGGCTGACTCATAAAGGCAAGGGGGAAAACGTGATTTGAAAACTCAGATTTCTTTTTCTAGCGCACCTACCCTTTTCTCTTCCAAAAAATAACTTTTCAGGCTAAAAGACAGAGCCAAAGAGTTAATGGGTCTGAATTCATTTGTGACCTATCAAAGAATTTAAACCATCTTGTAGGCAATCACTTCCAGTAGAAAATTTTATTGTCATTGCTTTTTATGAGTAGGCAAACACATCTTACATTATTGATGACAGATTTTCATACTCAGCAAATTAGTTTACATACCAGCCTCAAATAGTAAAGCATAAGAAGCATTTGAGATGACAGGGCAAAAACACAGCAAGAGACTCAAAAGTCAAATACTAAACTGAATTTCATCCGATACTTACCAATCGGGAATTTTAAATTACATGAAATAAAAAAGCAGTCCAGACTACCACCACCGGGCACAGGAGCAGAGTGCTGGCCCAGGCAGGAGGTGGGGGTTCAAACACTGCCCCCCTCGGGCCCTGCCCACAGAGGCCTGTCCCTTAGCACAAGGAACACTCCCGTTTGTCACAGGACAGCTGCCCAGCAGAGTGGAAAACCAGTGGGGATTTACAGACAGGAACGAAGGGCGGAGAGAAAACTGCCTTCGAGCCGCCCGCCGACGCTGGGAGAGGCTGTGGCTACACATCCCACGTGGCAGTCACGGCTCAGGACGCCCTCTTTCCCGAGGTGCAAGATTTCTGCATTTCCCAAAGGGCATCTGAAGTCGCCAATCAAACCCCAACGATGGTGTTGCATAGGATGACGTCAGAGCTCACTGGGCGGGCGGGCGGGCAAGGTGGACACAGTGAGCTTAGGAGACAATCTTCGAAATGCTTTATTACAAAATACAGTCCAGGGTTCACAAAATGATTCCCAGTGTTCTCTATACACACGCTGCTGAGCGAAGACTGCGAATGCCTGGCAGTCGCCCGCAGGGACCTAACTTCTACAGCGACTCCAACCCCCTCACAGTTCCAGAGACGTCTGTAATGGGCAGTGGAATGGAGAGACCAACGGTCACTGTGGCCCGCTGGGCCCGACTGCCAAACAATGACAGTTTTCCCCGAGGGTTGGAATCCACATCCATGGCTGAACCCACAAAAAGCTGGGACCCAAGTTCGTGAGACGAGGCAGAGTGGAGAGGAAGGCGCTGTGGCAGCCAGGAGGCTCCCCTACTTCTTGTTCCTGGGCTTCAGCTCTTCGGCTGCGTTACGCAGGAAAATGTAATTTTTCTTTTGGGGATTATAAAATTCATGTCCCTAAAGAGGAAAAAGACACAATGATCTTATCATTAAAAAAATCAAAAGTTGGCATTTTGCGGGCACTTTTTATACGCCAAGTCCTGCACCCCCAAGTCTCTGGGGGAACGAAACAGGCAGACGGAAAGAAAAGCCAAACGCTGAACAAAAACTTCAGCCCCCAGAGGAAATGAGTCGGTGGAAACGTGTCTTCGACGTCCCTCTGAGAGAACGATCGTCTACGGACCTGTCCTTTTGGCACTGAGACTAACCTGCCCCCACTTTAAAGCCAAGGTGACCGCCCTCAGGGAGCAAGGCCTGACTCTGGCGGATGGTCAGCTCCGACTTGAGGCTTCATGGAAGGAGATCTCTGAGCTATGACCTCACGGGGACAAGTGTGTGGCCCAGGGTGACCCATCCCCTGGACCCAGAGAGCAGCAGGAGTCACGTGGTGGTCGTTGTGTCTGCCCGCGCCGTGCAGGGGTGCAGGGGCCACTCACCTTTGACCAGTCGTAGCTGGAAGCATATGCGAATATGTTTCCATTGTGATTGAAGCAGCAAGCCGATATCGGTTGATCTAACTGTTCTGAAGTTTTAAGTTTTGTTCTGGCGTCTTTGTCCCAAAAGCTGAATCTGCCATCAGATCCCACCGTGGCAAGTGTACCATGAACAGGATGGAACGCGATTCCATTGACCTGCAAGGGTTGACATGCACAATGAGCAGAGGAAGGAGAACCCTGCTTTGGCCAAGGCGTGCTTCCTGCTCCAGTTAGGGAACGAAATGCAGACCGTCGTGTCCCCGGAGCTGGCTGCCTGCGGATCGCAGCCATGCTTCCTGATCAACTACCAGCCCAGAGCCGGGTCTAGTCTCTTGTGATGAACCCAAGTCAGAAGTTAACAACTGTGTAGCTAGTGACACCTGGGCGCAAACCTCAGGAAAATGCCCTCTTCGTTCTTAGCAAACAGCAATTTCTCAGTTTTAGCTAAGTGTATAAATCAGCACCACAGAGGAGGGGAGATGCTCCCCAAAAAGTCCTGCGCTTGCATTCAGAAACACAGAGAGAACGAAGAGTCAGCATGTGCATAAAAACAAACGGAAACGCACGGCGTAAGCCGTTTGTCTCCAGATGCGAACACACATGACAAAGCAATGATCTTTTCGAATCCCATAATGACTCAGCTGCCCACTCCCAAGTCTAGTTTCTAGATGTGTTCTCAAGGTTCAAGTTTCTAAAAACATACCGCGTAGATATCCTGAGGAGCTGAAGTATTGGTTCCGTTAGATCGATGACATTTAAAGGTAAAGTTATCTTTGGCTCTGAAAAACAAAGGCCCAACTAAGTTTTCCTTTATAAAAAAAAAAAAAAAAAAGCCTCAAGTGAAAATTCGCAAGCTGATGGAGTCCCACTTACGGATTCGGGGGGTTGATGTAGTGGATAGCAACTCTCCCCTCGATACTTCCCAAGGCAAAACCAGTCGGCTTGTTCTGTTTGTCTTTAAAAATAGCCACACATCGATGCTACGGTTTGAAGAAAAAGAAAAGCATATTATCAGAATGTAAAATATAACGTTTCATACCTGATATGAAAGTGAACTATTTTTACACCCCATTTCTGGTCTTTAGAAGAACCAGAGACATTATTTCTCAACTATGATAGATACTTCTCTTCCTCCAGTAAGCATTCTTTTATCCGGCCACGTGACTTTCCGAGTGCGCTGCAGGCCATGTGCTTCCACCCAGCTGCTCGTTCCTTCTCGGCCACCCTGAAGGCCTTGCTGGCACTGTGGCAGTGTGCCCACCCTGAGCCCCCACCAGACCCTGTTCCCGTGCTGGCCCCTGGCGGAGGAAGCCGATCACTCTGATCCACAGCCCAGCACTGACTGGGAGTGCCCTGCCGCAAGTCACACCGTGCGTCTGTGCCTCTCCTTCCCCAACTGGAAGAGGGAAGTCACGTCTACCCCAGCGAGCACAGGGCAACAGGGTCAAGTGGGGGAGTGGCTGAGCCAGGCCCTCTATACCACGCACAGGCTACGCAGAAGCGAAACACTGTGCCTGGGGACCAAAGGAGGGCCCCCTGGACTCTACGAAAGATCCCACAGAAAAGCCCAGGACCCGATCTGGCCTCCTGGGGGGAGGAGCAGAGGGTGGAGCACCTCTAGGGTTCTCACTTCCTCCTTCTGCTTGTGACAAGCGGAGGTGATCCAGAGGACCACCCACCTTGCCCAAAATGGACACTGTGGCTTCCGGGAGGAGTTTGGGAGCTGGGGCAGGATCAGGCCTGGGGCTGGGCCACACCGGATGAAGGTGAAGCGCAGCTTCTGTTGTGACGGTGCCAGGACACGTGAATGTCCTAAGTAAATGGGAAAGTGTTTGCTAGTTCTCCTTCTGTAGCCTTTGCCCTTCTTTAAGAGCAAGACCATCACTTCGAAGAGTAAAAAAAAATAAATAAATAACAGAGATAAAAATCTCTAAGTTCTGAGAGGACAGGGGCACTATGGCTGGTCAAGCTGTACCCCGTCTTCCCCTCTGCCTGGCACAGGGTCTAACACATGGCACACTGACCAGGACCACACAGCCCTGGGAGGTGGCGGGGTGTAACAAACAAGAACACACCTGTACAGTGACGTTCTGCGGACTGCTGGCAGTCCTCAACGAACGAAAGCCAGGGCGTCTGGCCGGGGCGGCAGGAAGTGAAGCCAGAGACCACACTAGGCTTTATCAAGGAGTGTGGGACTTACCCAGGGGTCAGTGAGGAGTCGGCCCTGCGTTTTAAGCAGGGGCAGGGCAAGGTCAGAGGTGCCATTGTAAGAGCCTGGGTAGGGGAGGACACAGCTCTAAACTCTGTCGTTCAACTGTGAAGGAAAATAAGGGTCCAGGTGGTACTGGAGGAGGATGTGGGGATCGAGAGGTTTGTTTTCTAGGATGAATTATTAGACCTGAGCATGTTTCAGGGCTAACGGAGAAGGGGGAGAGACGGGAGGTATGGGAGGTGTAGGTGGAAGGTAGGTGACCAACAGCAGAAGGTCCTGAGTGGGCTGGAGGGCAGGGGGTGCAGGCGCTGGCAGAGCACTAGATTCAGTTTTTTTTTTCCCAAACACCGGCTTGTTTTCTGAGCAGGAGCTCATCTGAGCTGCTAAGACTAAGGCTAAGGGAGGGTCTACGAGACTGAAGAGGAAAACCTGGTACCTGTCTGGGTGTGACGAGGGCTCGGAGGAAGGTGGAAGCTATGAATTTACAATGCAAGTCGCATATCATGCGTCTGTGCCTCTGCTTCCCCAACTGGAACAGGGAAGTCATGCGCATCCACTGAGGTGTGCAACTCATTCCGCAGCATTCGGCCGTCCGGGGGAAGTTTGGGGAGGGCAGGTAAGCTGAGCTCATCCAGGGAAGGAGAATATTCACTCACTAAATATTTGTTTGTACCCTTAAATTCACTCGTTGAAAATACTTAACAGTTTAAAAGTACAACTTTACTCCATACGCAGACATGTGATAGGTGCTAAATACATGCTTTCGGATTTGATTTCTGACTCACCTGGTGTTTCAGTGGGGATTCTATCCTCCTGAATTCAGAAGGTTGGTTCTCTAATTGATAGACAATCAGTCCTCTCTCTGCAGTGGCCACCACGGCCATAGGATATATCTAAGGAAGCAGAGACGTGTTTTGTTTTTTTTTTGTAATTTCCATCCCCATAGGAGCGTGCTTTTTTTTTTATACCAAAGTATTAGAACAACTTTTTAGTCACAAAAATAAGTCTGATTTTTTTTCTAAATTTAAAAATGCAGTGATAACATGCTTCACGAAAACCTAGAGAAACTGTATTTGAAATGTGAAGATCTATGTAGTTTTAAAAGACTCATTTCTTAAAACTATAAAGTATGTAAATATTTAGAAAATATACTCAGGACCAGAGAAGAAACGAAAACCACCTATTCCGCTGCTTCAACCGACAAGCTGTCGACACCGCGCTGTACTGTGTTCCCGTCTTTCTGCTGAGCGTTAGATGTGTGTGTTTCCTACAATCCGTATCATTACCGCCAACTGGTATTCCAAGAATACTAGAAGTGACTAATACGCCCTCGAAGGAGCCTACCGTTTAGCCACGTCTGTCTTGGTAACCCATCAGTTATATATTATACACAGCAAAGGCTATTCGATTCTTTATTTTTCTCACGACAAATTCCTAAAAGTGGAATTACTAGGGCAGGTGGCACAAAACTTTGACTTACAACAACTAAACAGATGGAGAAAGTTCTTCAGTTTCTCTCCCAGAGAATGGTGTGTATTAGTCCCCAAAGATCTAATACACACCGTTAAAGTTACTGCCCCTTTTCCTAGAGCCACACAGTAAATGTCACATGGTGGTAGCATGTAGCTGTCTGCAGACATTCAAATAAGAAGTGCTCAGAAAACTTCACACCCAGGATTCAATAATTCTGGAACAACTGGGGCACCAAAATTACCTGATATATGATGACTGAGGCACTCTGAACTACACCTCCCACAGAAACGAAATCTCAGTGATTTTTAGATTATCCTCTAATTGCAATGTCATAGGTGAGAAATGCCTTCTTTTAAGGAAACACGTAAGTTAGAAATTCCTTACCACGTCGGCACAGTAACACCTTTCAGGGAGTTGCAAAACCATCATAGGATTTGATGATCGCGTATCCCAAAACTAAAAGGAAAAAAAGAGAAAGCCAGGGCGTGCCCACTCAGAGCGGAAGCCCACAGTGCTAGCACGGATGGCAGCCCGGCCAGGGTACCCCACGTGCCTTCAGCGTCTTATCCCAGCTCCCGGTCATCACACAGCTGTAGTTTGGTGCTTTGATCCAGTGGATGGTTTTAACAGGAGCATCGTGCTTTCAAGACAAAACCGAAACAGATCAAGGTAAATGTAACAAGGTGCCAAACAGCGTTAGCTCTGAAAACTCAGAGAAGGAACTAATTTAAATACAGAAGTCACACCAAATAGAAACCACAAGGTGTTTTAGTCCTTCCCCACGACCATGACAGTGTAGCATAAGAGCACACATCTTCCTTGCGTTCTAACACACTCAGACTTTACATCATGGACTAGCGTGTGCGAGTGAAAGGCAGCCCCTCCCTGGGGAGATGATCGGAAATAATAAGGAACGCCACCGCGGGTTTGTTTACCTAGATGACGTGAACTGAGATGATGGAGGGGCTTGTCACATAATACTGTGATCTTAGAGTATGTGACACCTTCCTGAAAACGTTTCGGTGTCCTCATCAGAGCAGACGCTCTGGTTCTAGGTTCTCTCATCCTCGTTACTTCTGCCTTTCTTGGCATAAGAACATGCCTGTTGTCCCTGCACAGACTACGGCAGTGTCTCTCTCAATGTTCTCTCTCCCTAACGACAGTACCTGGCACAGAGCAGGCGTCTGATAAATCCTTGTCAAACGAGCGAGTGACCAAATGGAGTTGGTAAAAGGCAAGCCACTCACGGGTATCGGAATGTCAAGCACCTGGATGTTGAGGGCCACCTGGAACATCTGTCGTTCACAGATGTAACGTCACTAACTCCTTATGACGCCATTCTCATCTACGCATATGTGGAAGACCCACGGCAGAACAATCTGTGAAATACTAGTAAGCATGAGAATGGTTATAAAACCGGTGTTGTTCTTATGCTAAAGAGGGGGTTTCTGGTATCCTTAAGTATAGTCAAACTGCATTTCTTCTGTTATAGGGAATTATAACTAAAGAAACATCACAACGTTAGGCACCAACCTTCTTGCAGAGGGCAAGCTTTTATTACCTGTGCAATCTGTATGGCTTGATTACTGTTAAGGTCCCACATTTTGGCAGTTTTATCACACGAAGCCGTAAATACTTTGCTCCCATCCTAAAATAAAACGGAGAAAACCTGTCATCTAAGAAAAAGAAAATATCTATGTGTATATTTAGATATTACGTTGAACATTTTGAGGCAGGTATTGTTCTGCAATTTTTATTTTTCCAACTTTTCAGAGCCACTATATTTTCAACTGCGCTGCCATATATCAAACAGGTTTTCCACTCTATTTTTTATTATTGATTTATTTTTCTAAGAGATAATATGTACACAGGATAAAATGAATTCAAATGGCACTTAAAGTAACATAGTGAAAACTAAGTCTCTCCACCGCCCTTGACCCCCGTCCCCCGCAGAGGCGGTCACGGGTTACTGACATACTCCGAGGAAAAGGCCTTGTAGACCATGCCTCTACGTGGAGCACCAGGGGCCACTTAGGTTTATTTTGATCAGTTTCGAGCCTTTGCAAAAATTGTAAGAATAAAACGAACACCATAAACCCTTCACCTAGAGTCACCAATTATAAACATTTTGCCACATTACCTTTCCCTCCCCACACACATACCTATACTCAGTACTTTTGTTCAGCTCCATACTGATAGCATTTCAAAGGGCATGCGATCAAACTACACTGATTTTCAATAATCACTGGTCCTTTGTAAACCACAGAACAGCTTAAAAATAGTCATTGTGGAAAGGTTTTTAAAACAGTCACATACAGAACTCATAAAGTAGGCCCGTCGAGTATGAAGCACAAGATAATTATTAATAAAAAGAGAAAGTCCTAATGAAAAGTCTAGACCAGTCGTTGACAAATTTTTTCTTAAAGGGACATTTATTTAGTACATGTTTAAATCTTTCCTGATCCTTGTTGCGACCCCTCAACTGTCTTTACTGTCTGAAATTCTTACTCGTCTGTCCTTAAAAGCAGCCATACCCGCTCTGTAAATAAAGGGGCATGGCTGTTCTGATAAAACTCTGTTCACGAAAACAGGCAATGGCCACACTGATCTGTGGCCCAGACTGTTTCATTTCTGGTTATAGCTCAAAGATTTACCACCATCCTCCCCTAGCAAAAATTTCTTCTCATGTGAAGTCACCAGTTCTTCATCTGAAAGGAGAGATAAAATCTGCTTTTCTATGAATAAAGTTATAAGGAGATCCCCACAAATCCTTGGAGAGATACAACGTATGGAGTGGGATACCTTGAGCGGGGCGAAACACCGGCCTCTCGATCTCAGTAAAAAATGCCAATCCCGCTAGCTATGGGCAGCACAGGGGAGCAGCTGCATGCCAGAGCCCACTGGACACACAAAGGCCAATCCGCTGGCAGGCTGCTGGAGAAGCGTACTGGAAGTACTCTCCACCCAGCTGCTCCAGCTGCCACGGCCACGTGGTGAACCGTGTCCTCAGAATGCTGAAGAATCGCTCTCACCAAGTCTGGCTCTTATGCCTCAAAGGTATCTTTGGCTCTTTTGTGCTTCTGTGCCTTTGCAAACATGGCTTCCTCTCCTGGAATGCCCTTCCCACCTCTCCCAGGCTAGCTCATGCTCTTCTTGGAAATCTCTCTGAGGGAGGTTGCCAAATGCACAGGCTCTGGAGCCAGGAAGGTCTGGGTGTGGAACCAGGCTCAGCCATTCACTATGCCCCCTCAGGCAAGACCCTTACTGCTTCCTGACAGGCACCATGCTAGTCACTTTAGGTAGATTTAATCCAGCTGTCACTAATTTCCACTGTCTGAAATTCTTACTCGTCTGTCCTCAGAGATCATGACTCCCAGGAGCACAGGATCTGCCAACCTTGTCTACTTTGATTCCCACTGTGTCCCCAGTGCTTTGGCATACTAAAGGTGCCTGATAACTACTTGCTGGGTTAAATAATACTATTAGCTGTTGCAATTGTTATCATCTCCACTTTATATGTGAAGAGAAGGATGCAGAGAGATTATGCGACTTGTCAAAGTCAAAAAGCTGGAGGAAACAGAGCCAAAATGTGAACCTGCACTGGATGAGACAATGCTCGAGAAGCTACAGGCGTGTGGTTCACTTTCAAGATTGAGCTTGCTTCTTGCCTCTTTGGTGCAGGATTCATGGCGTCCTCCCCAAGCTGTGTATGCTGTGTCCCCTCCCACCCAGCACCAATCACCCTGCTCTCTCCAGACCCAGCTCACGGTGCTGGAACTCTTCATTCCTATGTCTGGCTCCTCCGCCAGATGGGGCACAGCATGGAGAAAGGGAATCGGCTGTATTTGTCTTTGTAAATGCCACAGCCACTCACTCGATAACATTTGGGCGGCAGAATTCCTGTATCAGTTAACTCTACTTCTCAGCACACTTTATAAGAAACTTTAGAGTTCTGATCCGTTACCCAATCAGTAGACAGGCAAAACAAATTTAAAATATTTTAAATCTACTGCTGTTGCTACTTTCCCACATGTAAATTAAAACAAGTTGGAGCAGTAATAAGTGCATTACTTTTCAAACTGTTTTCATCTATCATTACTTTCATAATAACCCAATCAGATACATCAGGAATACATTTTACAGATGACAAAAATGCCGTAGAGAAGCCTATCATAGCTAGTAATTAAAAAGGGAGGAACTCTGGTTCCTAAATCATCTCAAAATATTTATAGTCAGTTCTTATTTATAAGCTAAATAAGATTACATAAACATGTAATATGGTTTAAAAATGACAATGTAAAATAAGAACGGTTTGGTGTTTTTCATAAAGTAAACATATACTTACCATACGACCCCTGATCCAACTACCACATATTTCTCCAAGAGAAAAACTTTTGTTCACAGAAAATCCAGCATACAAACGCTTACAGCAGCATCATTCAGGATGACCAAAACTGGAAGCGACCCCAATGTCCCTGTACTGGTGGACGGTGCACAGACGGGGCAGCATCCATACAACAGAATTCGACTTGGCAATAAGGGAGACAAACCTCTGACAGTCACCACGCCCTGGATGGATCTCAAATGCATTCTGCTGAGTGAAAGTGGCCCACACACAACAGGTTACACCGTGCAGGACTGTTTATATGACATGCTGGTAAAGGCAAAGCCATAGGGCCAGAAAACACATCCGTGGTCTCTAGGGGCCGGGAGGTGAGGCCATGACTACAAAAGGCAGGAGGGAATCGGGGGGCTGATGGATCTGTTCTGTATCTTGACCACAACTCTATGCATTTCTCAAAACTGACACTAAAAAGATCCAATTTTACTATTTGCAATTTTACTCTTATCTAGGAAATCTGGCAAAAAGTCCATGTGAGGCCTTGAGGCTTAGCTTCCTTTGCACAGAGGTTCACCTATCTGCCTCTGCCTGCCAGCCAGCCCCGTGTTCGCTCGGTCTGCTGGTTCCGCGAGCAGGCAGGAGAGGGGGCAGAGAAGGGCTGGGCTGTCAGGCTCCCGGCTCCCCTTTTGCAGAGGGGGCGGCCCCTCCACAGCTACAGCTCTCCTGAGGCCCAGGCTCGCCACAGGTACTTCACCTTCCCTGTTGGTTTTTCTGTAAACAGGCCCTTCCTTAAACTCTCCATAATCAACAACAGAAAAGAAGGAAGGAAGGGAGGGAGGGAGGGAGGAAGGAGAGCAGGCAAGCTCAGAGACAAATGAACTTGAACGTGTCTGCTTATATTGCTGATATTCAAAATCTGAAAGGAAAAAAATCAAAAGTCTTCAACTCTCATAAAAGGAAATAATCATTTTCCTTAGTATTTTCTGAGATAGTAAGTTTCTAATTTTAAAACAACATAGCTGAAGGCATACAAAGGTAGGGAAGGCTTCAAGAAATGACCTAATCCTTTGTTAAATAACATGTCAATAAAATAATGGATTTTTATGTGAGAAAAGCTTTCAGAAATTAACTGAAGCTATCATTGACTACATTAGGAATATCAAAAAATTACTATATTTTCATTAAGAAATTTAGAAGTCCTACAGTGTGTATGCACACGTTATGTGTGTTCTGGAGTATATAAAACCAGAGATACATAAATATTCTGAACGCTGATGCAGGAGACGTGAAAGAGAGAAAGGACTTACGTCGCTCCAGCACACCCCCAGCACAGGCCCCGTGTGCATCTGCTGGGCCTTAGGGATCGTCTGCCCACTGTCCTGAACTTCCCAGCAGCGAACCTACAGCGACAAGACGAATTAACGCCAACGCAGAAATTTAGATAAATTACGTGCATTTAACACTTAACAACTAACAGGGTGCAATTTAAATATACATGAACTTCTCAGATCAATCTAATTATCTAACTTTAAGAATGATGCAATTGAAAGGTAAATGGAAGTAATGACTTTCCTGTTTCTAAGCCTTTAAAATACGCCAATTCTTTTGCTTAAATCTAAAACGGCAGATAATTTTCACACCATAGCTATGAGCTGTATGAGTCTTCTGAAGCAGAACGTCATCCATTACCAGAGAATCAACACACAAGTGGAAACTCACCTTTCTTCTCTGAATACTGACTTTTTATATCATCTTTTTCCTGATTCTAAAGGTAATGCATTTTAGAGATCCCATACAAAGAAATAAAAGTCGCCTTCATCCCACAACTACAGTTGATAGTTCAGTGTGCTTTCGGTCTTCTATGCACACACATTTTCTCTAAAAGCCTGGATTATGCAGTATCTTCGCTTTTGCAATTTCGGCTTTTCTCACTTGCATTACTTGCCAATAAACATTCTTCTAACATTTTTTAGCAGAGAATCGACTGAAGTCTCTCCAAAATCTACACGTAGACTCCAGAGCTGCTCGAGCATGAGCACCTTCCTCCCCCTGCGCTCTCCTCCCCTCGTCTCCTGCCTTGCGGCTGCCTCTCTGTTACAGAAATGTTTCCGAAAACTTTAAAATGGCATTCCACCACATAGGCATACCACGATGACCATTACTATTAGGTACTATAATTTCCAAAATTTTCCCTGCATGAAGACTTTTTAAAATGAGGCAGCGGCAAGGACCACGGGCCGCAGGCCAGGCTGCGCGGGTCAGCACCCCGGACCTGGCACTTGGATGCAGGACTCTGGCCACGTATTTGGCTTCTCTAAGCCTCACGCCCGGCTTAATAAGCTGGAGGTGACAGGGTGTTCAGTGCCTCAGCAGCCGTAGAGATTAATTCGGTTACACACAAGGTACAGAGATCCTCCTCAAGCCCCAGGAGAGGAATCACAGAGACACTGAAGGGTTTCTGATAAGCACTGCCAAGCACCCTTCAGAGGAGCTGTACCATTCTACATTCCCACCGGCAGCACACGAAAGGTTTCAGCCTATCCTTGCCGGCACCATGTGTAATCCTTTTAAATTATTTTTTTTTTGGTTAATTTGATAGGGAAAAAAAGGCTATCACGTCAATTTGTGTTTATTGGATTGAGTGTGGCTAAACGGTTCAGGTTTAATGGGCCACTTGAACTTCTGTGAAGAGCCTTTTATCCTTTGCTGACTTTTCCACCAGTTTTTAATCTTTCTTTTTCGTACACTATAATTTTGTCTTTTTTGTACACAACAGGTTAAGCAAATTGTCTATGCAGAACCTGTGCTACATCTAACGTTGAAAAAGTTAACTATATGCCTGAAGAACATTTTCGGGATACCCACAAGGGAAATCTGGGTATACCATCATGGACAGCACCCGCGCTCAGCGCCTCCTACATCTGATTTGGGAATATGCGTCGAGATACTGAACTACAGCAGGGATTTCCGTAAAAGGGCAGTGAATAAGCCTTAGCTCAGCTTTGTTCGCTTGGGAAAGAATGGAACCACAAAGAAAGCTAACCTTGTCCAAACCAAGAGACTGGCAGACCGTGATTTAAGGAGCACTTACATCGTTAGCCCACGATCCTGCAATGAGAAAGTTCCCCTGCAACGTTGGTGGGTTAAAAGACAGGCAACCGATGCTATCGTCAGGAGAGGATGTTACTTCAATATCCTGTGGGGGGGAAGTCAACGTTAAAATGTACGTGGCATCACCGCTTCATTCAAAACTGCCTTCTTTCTCACTAAGCACCTCGTACTGGACTTTCCTTGTGCTCAAGAACTAAATCAGACCTTTCTTTGATCAAAAAGGGGAATACTAAATAAGCCAGCGTCAGGACTAGCGTAGCTGGGACTAGAAGGAGCACTCGATGAAGCGCCCGCAACCACGCTTTCCAGATGGTGGCCCAGCAGTTCACTCTTGCCCCGGAGCGCGTGATCATGGCTATCGCCTCCCCTCCCTCCCCACAGAAACTGATTCGACAGTGTGGGCTGGGCTCTGGGAACCTGCATTTCAATGAGCACCTCGAGTGATTCTGGCGATCGAGGAAGTCAGAGGACTGGGACACTCGTCTAGGGGACACACAGCTTCTGTGCTCCCGTGTTTGAGAAAGTGGCTAGACAAAGTTTCAGGGCTTTCACCCCAAAGTGGGCTCCCAAACTGTCTTGGCTTCTTCCACTGTCACTTCTATGGGAAACGCCAGCCTGCACTTTCTCTACGCAGCCCACGAGGCGCGCGATGCTACCTTCATAGGGTTGTGGTTGTCCGTGGTTGTGCTGCCAAACATGCTGGTCCCACCAGTTCCGAAACCTGACGTTGTTCCAAACAAACTCATCGTGGCCCTAAAAAACAACAGAAAATGTGAAGGATAGGCCCTTTCTTAAGTAATAAATATCACCGAGAGGCAGTATAAAGCTCACTAAGTCACAAAAGGGAAATAAAGTCTAAATGGCTTGATGCCAGGTATCTTTCTTTGAAGAGCTCTAAATACATGATTAACAGAATATTTTTTTAAAATAAAATTTTCTACTTTAGAATAGTTTTAGATTTATAGAAATCTGTAGAGTTCCCATATACCCCACACCTAGTTTCCTTCCACTTTACATTTGTCACCATTAGTAAACTACCATCGACACTTTACGGCAGAGTACTTCCCCAGTCATCAGCTAGAAAAGAAATCTGTTCATTCTTTGCACAGTTAGAGACCCCGAGCTGCGCACCAGGAACACAACAGTAAACCAGAAAAAGGTACCATTCTTCCAGATTCCCACTTAGTGGGAATTCACTTTCTTCTTACTAATTTCTGCAGGCTGGTTTAGATCAGTATCTCTGCATGAAGCTACTTAGAAAAGCAACCAGTCTTGGCAGCAATACAGCAATTTCTTTGTAAGAGAAGTTTAAAAAAGTAATCCACTTTGGTCTGCTTGAGCACCAAAAGGTCTGGTAAAACCAGCAAGAATCCTCCCACATTTGTTTCCGAGGCACACAGTCCGATAGGCCCACCAGGGGCCCTGCCACTCACCAGTGCTGGGACCCTAATCTCACGAGACCTCATTTTCCTGCTCTGCAAACACAGAGAATATTTAACACGTTCTCCAGGAGAGCTCAGAAGATCAAATCAGGTTATCTGTGTAGAAAGAGCAGCATCCAGCACATAGTGGGTACAATAAACAACTTTCCCTTGAAAGGAGAAAGTCTATGTATTTTAACTCCCTGATGACCCACATGTTGATGCCACATCTTCATTCTGTCATAGGTTAAAAAATTTCTCCACTGAGAAGTCTACCATGTCAGTCACCCCTCCCAAAGGAGCCTAGAAGCTGAGTGACATACTCACTAACAGGGTAGCATCTCTAAAGAAGACAACATAGAACCGGAAAACTGCTAGGATTTTTGGAAAGGCATTTCAGTTTCCTGAGCTTCGTGAAATTAAGCGCAAACATACTAAATAAAAGCAATAGCTATGAGCACTTAGTGTCTCAAAAAACGACTTTGTGAGGACACAGTGCTTGCCAACTACTCCTGCCTTAAATGTTAGCGAGGTACTTGAAGCACCAGTTAACTGCATGAGCAGACGAGGCAAGGACAAGGCTACCGGTTTCAGAGTTCAGGAACTAGCTACATGGCTTTGAGCAGGTTATTTAGCGTTGATTTCCTCATCCATAAAAAGTCACTGATGTCTACTTCATGGAGTATGAAAACCAAGCGAGGTCTCACACAGTGCTTGAAACTTCTTTTACTTCCGTTCCTTCCCCCTCCTCAACCATCGAGATGGCAGAGAACACTTCTGCCATTAGGGATGAACTTAGGG